GAATTGTTTGGATAATGATTTTAATGTTTCTTCTACTCTGGCTATTCTAAAACATGGATTAGTTATTTTATATAAATAGCTTTCATTCCAAAGATTATAAATACTTTTATTTGAGAATTCTAATGTGTGCTGTATTTCCTAATTCATATGCTAGTGATATTTTTGTCACGATTCTTGAATAATATCAAAATCAATAGGTAAACATTCTCTTCTAGTTTTTGTTTTGTCACCATAAACCCCATCACGTGTATCGTGCTTCAATTCTGCTGTGATTCTACCTTTTTTGCTCTTGAACGAAATCTTTTTTAAATTAATAAACGAAGTAAAAATCTTCAGATCGGAAGGTCTTCTAACGATGGATCATATATATACCTTTTTCCTTATTTGGAAAAATATAGTCCTTTTGCATTAGAACCTGTTATATCACAAATTGCACGGAAATATAATCATTTAATGTTACCCTTTTGTTTGGTTACCCTAATAATCCTGAACATCAGCCAGCAGAAATTTTAAATAGCCATATAAAAGTATTAGTGAAGAAAAAGTCAAAGAAAGGTAGAACGACAGCAGAATTGAAACACGATACACATGATGGGGTTTATGGTGACAAAACAAGAACTAGAAAAGAATGTTTACCGATTGATTTTGATATTATTCAAGGATGGTACAAAACTGTCACAAGCATATGAATTAGGAAATACAGCGCACATTAGAATTCTCAAATAAAAGTATTTATAATCTTTGGAATAAAAACTATTTATATAAAATAACTAATCCATGTTTTAGAATAGCCAGAGTAGAAGAAACATTAAGATCATTATCCAAACAATTCAGAGTTATCACATATAATGTTATACAAAATTTGGTGTGATAATATTGTCTTTCACTTACTTTTGTTTAAAAACGTAAAGAAAAACACTAATATTTTTTTATTTCATATATAAACAAAGAATTGGTTTTTTGCTAAATCATTTTCGGCAATATTCAATAGCTCTAGCAGCTTGAAGAATTAGATTGCGAATTTTTGGCACTTAAAACGTAAAGAAAAAGTCTTGGATATAGAATGGTGATTACTTCTAATCAGTTCTAGGCGATTTTCACATATGTGATTAGATATGCGCCAGTTACAGTTAACTGTAAAACTGTAACTGTCATAACTGTAGGCAAATATTCTAGAGTGATTAGTCTTGTACGATTTGCATACATTTTAAGAATAGAGACATTCTTAAAAAAAAACAGTTACAGTTATCAGCAATTTTACAGTTTTATAAGTACAGTTAACTGGTAAAAAACTGTAACCGGTGCATACGTATATGTGATAGAATTCAGCGTTCTAAAGAACTTTGTCGTTGCGTATAATACCAAAATCGACTTCTGAGAGACGATAGAGATTTATCTCTAAAAAAACCGCGTATTTCAATGGAGTGTCTTTATCTACGGCTGGTCCACGTAACGCGACACTTCACTGGTCGAGCTCGAGTTTTTCTGAATTTTTTTTCATCAGAAAATCGATAGGAGCACGTCACTGGACGCAGCTTTTCATGCTGATTACGAATCTGACTTTTTCTTGAAGAAAAAATTAATTTTCAATATAAAAAATTAAATTTCAGTTTTCTGACCTAGACATTTTGTTCAAAAAATTTTAAAAACATACTATTGAATAGAGATGTCAGTTCTCTACAAAATGTCTCATTTTGTTTTGAGATCTATTTTTCAGTCGAGACACAGTGGCTGCTTGAACGTTTCAACTTCTGCCTTGGTCTGAAAGTCTCAGAGAATTTTTTGAACTCTATTTTCAATTGGAGCCTTTCAGGAAACCCAGAACTGCACAGAACAACATTTAGTGCCTGAAAATAGTACGACAAAAAAGTGTCACAGCATTACCAAAAATGTCACAGAGTTACTTTACAAAATCGACCTTTCTAGGCGTGCGGAAGGGTTTGGAAAAAAGTTCTTTTTACCAAATGAAAGCCCGTTAGCTCCTCTACCAACTTGTCTCTAGAAAATTTTCAGATGCACAGCTCAATTCGCAGGAAATCAGAGCTGTATCAGGAGTTCTCAAAAAATAGGAATCTTTTCTGTCACAGCGTTACTTGCCAAAAAATCTTTCTGGAAGCTCGAGTGTTGAACCGAAAATCTTCATTTCTATACGTAAGTAGAGTTTAGTGAGCTGCATCGAATGGCGCCACAACAAACTTTCTAATTCCTACAGTTTTCGAGAAAAATGCAAATTATTGTGTCAAAAATGTCACAGCGTTACCTTTGGACAAGCCGTTTACCCCAAGCGTACAGGTGAAGTGTCTCTATTTACCTCTATTGGGTAATTACTGACACTTTGATAGACCTCCCCGCATTCTGGATCTGACTCAAAACTGGTCGGAGATTTTCAAAAAAAATTTACATGAACGTGTAGAAAAATGTTTGATCTACCACCGTATTCAACAGCAAGTTTTTCCGATCAAAAACGGACAAGAAATAGCCAAAAAAAACGACGAAAATTTCAAACAGTACCTTTATTTACTACAAAGTACTCTGCGTAATTTTGCTCATTGAGTCGGAACAATTTTTTTCTTTTCTCTGCTCATTTGAACTTAAAGACAAAAAAAAAAAGACGATTTGTGCAAAACATATTATTATTTGATGATACACGTAGTATCGCATCAAAATATTTTATTTTTCGACAAAACATGGCTGCTACTAGTACTCCAAACTATTCATCAATTGAAATAAGTGAAAATTTAAAACAAAGTGTACTTGAACATATTAATTATTTAAAAGAATTTTATGAACATCCCGG